ATTACAAAATTATGAATTATGTTGTAAAGACTAATCCCTTTTGTAAATAATAATAAATTAAGTAAATCTATCATATAATATCCTATATGTTTTATAAAAAATTTTGCGTTAATTAAGTAATTATATCGATCTTTATTTTAATCTTTTCGTTGTGCTCATTGTTCTCTGTTTAAATTATTAATTTAAAGTAATATCATTTAAATATCAATCTCTATCAAGCAAAATTGATAACATTTTGATAACATCTACATATTTATTTCCTACACTAAACTGACCATATAATATAATAATGTTCAAATAAATGTAGTGTATATATAACCAAAATGGAATGGAATAAAACTTTAAAAAAAGGATTTACCAAGCTTAGATGTTTAGATGAAGAGTTAAATTTGTTGAAGAATTAATTAAAAAATATATTAGATATTGATTGTAATTATAATTGTAGTTTGATAAATTATCAAATTCATTTTTGCATTAAGCCTTCCAAAATACAGCTACCTTTGGATTTCAATAAAGGTCTTAAATCAGTACCTTGATGATTAATGAATTCTCCTTTGAGAACAAGTGCCCCTTATGCTTAGAATATAGTGGATTATGATATAAGGAGTTTAGTGATGCAAGTGGAAGCTAAGAATATGATAGGGCATAAATAATACCTTCGGAAATATGGCTATGTTATTAGAGTGGAATCTTAAATTATGCAAGAATATCTTTGTAGTTTACATCAGAGGATTTAATTTCTTATCCTGTCTTTAAATCCCATAGACGGACGGACTAATCATCACTACCAGAAGCTAATGTATTTCCATCAGGAGAGAAACAGACTGACATAATAGCACTAGTATGACGATCTAATTTGGCTTTTTATTATCCTATTTTGACATCCCATAGACGGATAGACTTATCCCAACTACCAGAAGCTAATGTATTTCCATCAGGAGAGAAACAGACTGACCAAACTTAATCACTATGACCATCTAATTTGGCTTTTTATTATCCTGTTTTGACATCCCATAGACGGATAGAGTAATCATTACTACCAGAAGCTAATGTATTTCCATCAGGAGAGAAACAGACTGAGTAGATATAAAGAATATGACCATCTAACTTGGCTTTTTATTATCCTGTTTTGACATCCCATAGACGGAT